GCTGTGTCTCTCTCTGTCAAATAAATAAAATCTAAAAAAAAAAAAAACCCAAAACACTAGAAAATCCAAACCCACTAGTTCCAAGTCCATTTTTTCCTTTTATTCCTTAGGGAAGCTTAAGCTACCACAGAGAGTTCTCTTAAAGGGTCCTCTACATTTGCATAATTATGGCAAAGCAATGCAAGCTACTCTCCTTGTGTGTTCAACCTCCGAACAGGTGCACTGGCCTGTCCTGACGACACCCATGGGGTCAAGGTCCTGGAATGTGCAGGCAGGTGCCCAGCTCCACGTCTGGACTCCAGCACTTCCTGCTTTGTGCCCTGCACCTCCGTGTGCCTCAGTTTCCTAACCAGCAGTACCAGGTAGGGTCATGTCAACACTCCGAAAGCACTGCACTGCATGGTATACAAGCAACCAGGACACCCGTGTGAGCTGCTGTTAGTGACCTGACTTTGTCCCTTACCCCCGACCACTTCCCTCTGCAGCTCGAGTCACTTCCTGAGCCTCCAACTGCACGTATGTGATTCTCCTCCCCATCTTCATCACACGCAGGCCTGTGGCCATCCATGTGGGTCCCTGCCGCGCACCTACTCACCACCTTCCGCACACTTCCACTATTAACTGTCTCCTAGGTCCTGTAATCATGCTGTAAATAGTTTTAAGGCTAAAGGCCATGACTTGCCAAATGCAAGCATTTAAAACAGACCACTTTTAAAATAAACAAGAATGTCATGACGTGGATGGTGACAGGGCACTGTGCAGGATTCAGGTCCTGATGGCCCAGGAGCAGGCCTGATGCCATCAGCTGTCTGCACCTGCTCTCGGCCCCCGGGCCCACAAGGCGGCTGCTCTCGGGCCACGCTGGACCCAGTGGTGTCTGCCTAGCACAGAGCACAGCTTCCGTGACACCGAAACATCCCTGAGCAGCGGCGGCAGCTCGAACTCAAAGCCAAAGTACCAAAATGAAAAGGGAAGCCCTCCGCTACCTGACCACCAGCCGATAATGTAGGGCACACGTCAGGGGCAAGTTCAGGGGCAGGGGGCGCACGCGAGAAACACAGGTTACATGAAGTTTAAACGTGTCCAGAGTGGTTTGGGGGTTTTTTTGTTTCATTTTTAAAATGTAGACAAGCCTCCTGCAAGCGTCCGTTTCCAGGTCTCTACTTGGTTACAGGCAGAGACGACCCCCTTTCCTGCACCTAAGAGCCCCTCCACACCGAGGTCTGTTTCCAATTAAGACACACTATTGAGTTACAGTGCGAACGTGTCTGCTTTGTTTCTTCTGGGGCTTTGTTTAGAAAACAACTTTGACAGTGTCCAACCAAACAACGAGGACCGAATACGGGAAGAGTCGCTTACAAGAATCAGGAAAATCTGTTCCCGTTCAAAGAAGGGTGTTTTACGAGAAACACGTGCCACACTCATCTGTGTCGGTTTGCAATCTCTAATCGAAGCAGCTCAGCCGGGAGACGTGCCTTTCAGGAGCATGATGGAAAATTCCATGGACAGACGGACGCGCTGTCCTGTAGGACTCAGTGTGGGATCTTCGGGGGACTATACAGCATTTGCACTGAGTCATCCACATCCCTGCACGGGCACCCCGTAGCCCAGCTCTGCACAATTTCTGTGGCCCATCATCCAGGCCAGAGCGAAAGCTCCCCCAGGAACCCCACCACCTACCACATCAGCACCCTGCTTTCTGCAGCCCTCACCAGCCCCAGGCAACACACAACACTGGCACAAACTTACCATGCAGCGTAATTTTTAAATTCCCCAAGCAGGGCATACTCCCCCGCCAAAGGAGCCGCGGCATTTCTTCTACCCACCAAAATAATCGCTCTTATGATAAGTAACATGCACTGAGCACATCCTAGGCATCAGGAGGCATTTTCCATGTAGTAACCCATTTTGCTTTCACAGTAATGACTGTTAATTATGATAGTTAGAACAATTAATTATTCTACATAATTAACAATCATGATCCAGAATTAAGATGAATAAATATATCAAGAGTTATTTGTTATAACTAAATGTCTCTATATTATATATAAAATACACCATATTCGTTATCCTGATAATTCTAGGATATGTAATTTTATATTAATAGTTATTCATTATAATAACTAAAATTGGTACTTTCATTATCCCCGCTTCATAAATGTTTCCTCATCGAGAGCCAATGTGATGAGAGCAGCCAGGATGGGAACGCAGGGACACGCAGCTGGGACAGCACCATTGCTCTCTGTCAGCCTTGGGTATGGACCCACACGGCGGGTGCTCAGCAGGTGTCCTGGAGCCCCCCCCACCCATATGAATGAAGTCAGCTTACTAGGGGCTTCTGTGATCAACCCCTTGGGGAAGACATGTTTTAGCATTAACTGTTTATACCTCAGTGCCTATGTGGTTTTATTAAGCAGTCTAGCCCCCCACCCTACACACACACACACACACACACACACACGTGCATGCACTCGCACACACGCACCCTCTGCCTCCACCTCTTCTGAGCCAGGAATCGTGTTAGGTGCTGCAGGCGCGGCCGTGAGACATGGTCCTGCCCTCTAGCAGCTTCTAGTTAGTGAGAGACAGACACCAACTCATCCCCTCAACACTTCCCCAGGGAGCGAAAAAGTGCTCTGAAGGAAAGGGGGTGTGCTAGATGTACACGGAAGAAGAAGGATCCTGAAACCAGCAGCTAGCAGGACTGCTTGCCGCAGGCCAGGCAGCCATTTATAATCCCCTGAATCCTCCCAACTCGGAGGGAATTTCTACAGCCAGTCCACCTCGTGAGAAGACTGAGGCACAGCTAGGGGGCTCGTGCTCCCGGCCTGTGTCCCGAAGGAGGCCACCACCTTTTCACTTGAAACACGGGTCCCTCCGCCCCACATGCAGATAAACAGCACTCAGAAATGCTCAAGATACTAGGTGAACAGCAGCAACATAAAATTAGAAATGCAGGTGAATCCCAACTGTCTAAATATATGTAGGGAAAAAAAAGTCTAGGGGCGCCCAGCTGGCTCAGCTGGAAGAGCGTGCAACTCTTGAGTTCAGGGTTGTGAGTTCGAGGCCCACAGATGTAGAGATAACTCAAAAATAAAATCTTAAAAAAAAAAAAGACAAGAAAAAAAAATGTCTGATGCCTTAAACTTATGAGTAAGGAAAGTAATAATTTGGGGTGGTGCCCGGATCCTCACTGCTAACGTGAGACGGATTTCTGAGTGGAACCACTATCTGCCCGCCCCCCTTTCACACTGGAAGAGCAGACTGGGATGAAGGTCATGAATGGGGTTGAGAAGGGGGTGGGGGGTGGAAGAAGAGGAAAAAACGTCTGGAAATAACCTCACACGTATTAACTCTCCCTCCCAAGGATTATTATGGGTGACTTTTTTCTATTTATGTTAGTATCTTCTAAATGCTTTGAGATGAGATGTATTCCCTTTATCATGAAGAGCAGAACATTTTTTGGAAAACGAATCAGAAGGTCACACTGCCTGCGGGGAGAGCCCACACCACGAGCGGACTGCGCTGAGCGGCTGCTCTGATGAGGGCTGCGGGGCTTGTCCTGGAGGCCGCCCCCCAGCCTCCTCTCCCGGGCGGAGCTCAGCGGAGGAGCCTTGCTCCCAGTGTATCCACATGTAGCAAACGGTGTCACCTGGCCGTCAGCAGCAACTGTTACCAAGTTGCTCTTCAGGCTCTCGGGCATACCTGCTAGCAACTCTCTGTAGCAACTCCCACATTTACATGAGCAACACCAAGACCAATTCTACCGGGAGGCTGGGGGTTCTGGCTCTCCTCACACCATCTCATTTTCCCCTCCAGACTACTCATTACCCTCCACAGAACTGACCCAAATTTCTCATACACTAGAACTGGAAGCAAGGACCTGAGACATACAATAGGAACTGTCAGAGGGAAGGGGGCAGAGGAGAGAGGAGCCAGCGGAGGGGCTCTGGAAGACAAGGTTCTGACTGCCTATTATTTGGCGAAACACAAGAAAGCCACACACAGACACCAATCCTCTAGTTAGTACATTTGTTTCTCCCAGGGATACTGGGTAGCAATTCTGAAACCACTTTCTATGTACTGGGTCTGAATGTATTGCGGATAACCAGACACAGACTTCTCACTATCTGGTAAAGAAGTTATAAATACGGAAAGAGGAAAGCTAGAATAAACCTTGGGGTATTGGACTGGAATCAGAAGTATCAGCATGAACTCACGGGTTTTCATAGATACACAGAAGGACAGATAAATATAGATGTGCATGCATGTGTGAGAACAGATACATATATTTCCTAGCTGTGTCTACCACAAGGACACCCCAACAGCAAGCACACACCCAGGGCCCCAGGCTTACTTGCTTTCACCATTCTCCAATAAAAGGAACCAGGGCTCCCTGACAGGATGGACTGGGCAGACAAAATACAAGGTGAGCCTAGGGCGGCTTGGAGGTCCAAACGGGAAATACTGAAACATAACAGGGGTTGTGTTGGAAGGACACGGGCACTCCTTGGAAGGGCTCCACGTCAAGGTCACAAAACACGAAGAAAGGGGCTGTTGCAGACGGGACAGTGCAAGAGATGTGACAACAAATGCCATGAGGGCCTCCAGGCTGGAGGGGGTCCTGAAACGGACGCGGTGTGTCCAGAAAGCAGACCCACTCGGACTAACAGCCAAACTGGATTCGGATCTGTGGCTTAGCTAATGGCACTGCTACCTGAACGTCGATTTCTCGGTGTTGGCAACTGTCCTATGATTCTGTCAGATAACCTTAGGGGGAGGCTCAGATGGGAACTTGGTACTACTTTAGCCACTTCTCCCCAGGTCTCAAATACGTCAAGCTCTTGCTGTGTCTCTCTCTGTCAAATAAATAAATAAAATCTTAAAAAAAAAACCCAAAACAAAAGAATTATCTAGGAAGGCAATGAAATGAAGCATCAAATAATGGAGGGTAAGGGGCAGGGGAGAAACAGGCGAGCAAGGCTGGACCGGATCGGTGAGTGGCGTGATGGTGCCCATCACCACAGGGGCTCCCATTTTCTTGTCTACTGTGCACGTTTGAATTTTTCCTCATGAACAAGTCCTTCAAAACTTTTTCTCAAAGTCTGCAAACAACGTAAATCTGCTCACTTCCATTAGTGCCCAGCACCACCCAGGCAAACCGAAGAAACCAAAGGCAGCCATCTCTAGACACTGTCCCCATCTGCTCCACCCGCTGCCCGAAGAACCTGTCCAGTGGGCCGCGCTGGTCATCTCCGAGCCACTCCCCGCCTCTTCGCCACCGTGGCCAGCAGGACCCTCACAAACACACACGGTGCTTGCGCAGCTCTGTCCCCCGCTCCTGGCGTTCTGGATTGAGAGCACCGCGCCCAGGGCAGCCCCTGCCCCTGAACCTGTCCGGTCCCATCCCAGGCCCCCGACAAGCCGTGCTCCCTGTCATATTCCCTTCCGGCTCCAGGAACGTGCTCTCCATCCCACCTGCACTAAAAACATCTGCCATTTTCCATGGATTTGTGGGTGACCACTTGATTCGTGTCTGGGTTCACCACTCAGACAGTGAGCTCGGAGGGCAGGGGCTGCTTGGGTGTGCATCCACTGCTGTGTCCCCGGCACTGGGCGCGATGCCAAGTGCGTAGCTGGCACACCATGCCTTTTTCCAAGAGTGAACATCTCTGCCATTACGCATACGGGCCCGACTCGGGGTACTGGACGCTCACGTTCTTTCCTGCCCTATTAAAGTGCGCTTAGCTTTCTTGTGTCGTTTCTAGTTCTCCAGGCCCAAACACACTCCAAATCTGGCATGAAGAAATGGACCCTATCTTATAGCTATTAAGTATATTAAGCTTATTATAGCTATTGAGATCTGGGCAAAACATGGTTAAACCTAGGTGTTTTTTGTTTTTTGTTTTTTTGCGCTTCGGTAAATAACAAAGTATGCAAAAATGGGTTATTACATTAAGAATTTCATTTTCTAAAAGGCAGTGATAACAGTAAGTATTGGTAAGGACGTGGAGAAACTGGAACCTTCGACACTTGGCAGGAATGTAAAATGGTGCAGCCGCTGTGGAAAACAGTCTGACGGCTCCTCAGTCACAGAGTATAAGCCCGCAATTCCGCTCCCAGTACGTGTCCAAGTGAAATGAAAACATGTCCACGCACCAACTGGTACACGAATGCTCCTGACAGCAGTATTCACAAGAGTCGAAAGGTAGAAACAACCCAAATGTCCAAGAGATGAACAAACAAACTGCAAGACATCCATACAACGGAGCACTGGAGCGTAAAGAGGGACGGGGTGCCGACACGTGCCATGTGAACCTGGAAACATCGTGCTCAGTCAAAGCCAGACGTAGAAGGTCATACGGTTTTGGATTCCACTTGTATAAAATATCCAGATTAAACAACTCATCGAGACAGGACGCAGAATGGTGGTTGCCCAGGGCCGGCGGCACCACGGGGACAGGGCTTCTTTTTGGGGTGATGAAAATGTTCTGGAACCTGCGAGGGGTAATGGGTGCACTACCCGGTAACTCCACTAAATACCCCTGAATCACTCACTCACAACATCTTGTGATAGGGCACCTGGCGGGCTGATTCGGTGCAGTGTGCAGCTCTTGATCTCAGGCTGGTGAGTCCGAGCCCCACTCTGGGTGTAAAGGTTACTTAAAAATAAAATTTTAAAGAAAAAAAGTAAAATGCCTTGTGTTGAGTGAATTTCACCTCAATTTTTAAAAAAGGCTATGACATTTTGAAAGAATTTCCTCTTTGAAACATCTAATGGTTTTCTTTTTCCCTTGTTAACAATACAGACACACTTGGAAAAGACCACACAAATAATATCAACAGTGGCCGAGAGCACTGGAGGGCGGGGGGCACCGCCAGGGAGACTGGAGTTGTCTAGAACAAGGCAAACAACTCTCTCACAGCATCCAAAAGATGACTGCAAGACTCCTTAACAACCATCATTCTACAACACGGACTTAAAACTACCTTATTTCAATAAAAACGTGCGAAAATAAAATACAAACCACGTCTCAAATAAACGTTTATTGGAATGACACCAGGTACCACTGGAAAACTTAACAGTGTGTCTTGCAAACTACAACTTAATTTCATCCTTGAAGTTCGGCAGGGATGGTACCCCCAGCCCGCAGGGCCCCCCACTCGCTGCCCCTTCAGAAGCACGGATCACCCACCGGGGCGCCTTCTCCGACGAGCCCGGCCTCAGCACCACGCTCCAGGCAGCCAGGACTCTTAGTCATTGGTCATCGGAGGGAGAGGACTCCCTGATGGAATGAAATTTAAATCCCTCAAAAAGTCAACCTAATTCTTTGCTTTTCCTCTGAAGACCAATAAAATAAAAATAAAATAAAATAAAAATGCCACACAGAGTTCCTTCAGCTTTACAACCAAATTTCTCACCATCTATTCTATTTACTTCATAGCATTTATCTTCTAGAGAATTTTCACCCAAGACATCCATTTTTTCCTGAATTCACCTCTAGAATTCCATGACTGAGAGGTTCACCAGCTCTTCACTGGGGCCTTCAGCCCCGGGGACAGCACAGCTCCCTGCTGGGTCCCAGGCCACATTCTGGCTCTGGCAGCAGGCCAGGGCTGGGGGTGCTGACATGTGTCAGTGCCTCAAACGCTCACCGGAAGGCAGATGAGATAGCTGTCCCCTTCTCACACATGAAGACACGGAGCTAAAAACAGGCTCAGGAGCGCTTTGGGGCTGCACAGCCCAGAGGGGGCGAGGCCGGATCCCACACTCACGAAGCTTCTAGCTGGGCGCGGTGGGCCATGCCTCCCACCCAGCGCGGGCCACCTCCAGGCCTAGCTCCCGAGGGCACAGCTCTGGACAAGACTGATAGGAGCAAAGAGGGAGGCAGTCAGCGCCCCGTCGCTGCACCTCCACCGGCCAGGTCATCAGCCAGGCTCCGTGGAACGGATTCGTGGGCTGCACACGGAACCTACCAACATCTGGACACGTACTCACGAGAGGGGAGCTGGGAGGCTGGCGGAGAAGGAAGACTTTTCACTGTCTGCTCTTTGACATGTTAGGATCTGACTTGTCCCATGTACATCCATTACCTGTGTAGGTAAATCATTTCATAAGTGGCCCCCACGGTCCTCTTCCCTCCAGACAGCTTAACACGCGTCACCCTCGAGGTACGGTTGCCACCTTCCACGCCAGACAGAGGTGGGAGAGACCACTTCCACGGGG